AGCCAGGATGGTCTCGATCTCCTGACCTTGTGATCCGCCCGTCTCGGCCTCCCAAAGTGCTGGGATTACAGGCTTGAGCCACCACGCCCGGCCGAGAAAATACTTATTGTTCAGGCATGTGTTACAGTGCTGTTGATTGTGAGTTCAATGACACAAATGCTGCAATTGACATACTGTTTTATATTTTAAAATACTGACTATAATTATTTAGAGAAACATATATTAAACAAGGTGTCTTTTAACAGAAATGTGTAAAATGAGGTTACGCATTGATCACTTCACAAAAATATTGTGGCCTAAGTATTGAGCCTGTATTTCCTCCTAGAAGCAATGGTTCAGTATTTGCTGATTCAGAGTTTGCAGCAACTTTAGTGAGCACAACTTTCACTAATAATGAGAACCAACTGTATTAAATACAGATAGAATTTTACATGCACTATTAAGAGGCCCTCAGAACCACTGAAATTCATGTGTAAATCTCTTCTAGAGGCCCAGATAGTTCTAATGTCTTGCCATGAAGTAGCAAAGTTGAAATGTAGGGTATTACAATGAATTATAATAGCAATATTGGTGTAAAAATTATTGTTAACAAAAAATGATTTGAGTTCCTACTCTGTGCAAATAAGTCTTTTATTCTCAAGCAAAGTAAGTATAAATATGTATATCTGTATCAATTTTGGAATACTATTCAACAGTATTAATGTGTGGCCAAATTGTTTGTTCTTTATTAAATAAATTTTCAGTGTAAACCAACAGCTAAGAAAATTCAGAAATGTGACCAGCTTTCACTCCAACACCTTCAAGATGATTGTGTTTCCGTGTTATCACTTACAGCGACTATTAACCAAGCAGTCCTTAAGACTCTTGTTAAACTTTAGCTGGAAGAATAGAACAGTTAACGACATATTTTACAGGTGGATATTTTTTAACCCTTCTAATAACCCCTTTGCACAGATGAGTGTACAACTCATTTTTCAGAGGGCAAAGCAGAGCAATAGGAAACACTGCAGTTTCTTTCCTCCCTGATTCCACTTGGTCCACTAGCTTGCTGGTAGTTTCAGAGAAATGCTTTATCTTTTCTTAGACAGACTTTATTTTCAGGTAGCATTGTTCTTATGTGCTCTTTCTGATAATCAGGATTGTAAGGATTTCATGAAGTTTCCAATTTCCTAACCCCTGACTTCCTAAATGCCTTTGATCTCTCTACTAGACTACCCAGGCAGAGGGCTGCATGAAGGGAACTAATGCTGCCTACTCTAACATTACCCCTGGGTCAAGAGTACCTGCAAGTCCATACCATATTTGGTGCAAATCTGTTACTCACCTTGGCTTTCCCAGCACTGAAATGTGGAGGCAAAGATCTTGAGGCCACTGTTATCCTAGCTCTTGTCTGGGCCAAATTACCTAAGAAAGAGACCACAAGGAACATAAATTAAGGAAAAGTTAAGGAATAGGATCACGAGTAATTTTTCCCTTTGTGTCCTTGGATTTTTCTGAATTTTCAAAATAATCTGCTTTGAATTTTTTAAATTTGGAAAATTTTGAAACTTTGATGATATAAATTATAAACTATAATATTTAAAAGTTTAAAATAATTTGTAAGTGGCTGGGCATGGTGGTGCATGCCTGTAATCCTAGCACTTTGGGAGGCTGAGGTGGGCAGATCATGAGGTCAGGAGATCGAGACCATCCTGGTTAACACAGTGAAACCCCATCTCTACTGAAAATACAAAAAAAGATTAGCCGGGCGTGGTGGCAGCAGCCTGTAGTCCCAGCTACTTGGGAGGCTGAATTAGGAGAATGGCGTGAACCCAGGAGGCGGAGCTTGTAGTGAGTGGAGATCGCACCACCGCACTCCAGCCTGGGTGACAGAGCAAGACTCCATCTCAAAAAAAAAAAAAAAATTGTAAGTAACTTGTAAATAAATTCAATTTATATTAGTTTTATAAGCAAAAAGAAAGAACATAAAAGTATTAAATTCACTGAACAAATTAGAAATAAAAGGAAATTACCTCAACATAACAATGGCCATTTATGAAAATCCCACAGTGAAATGTCAGAGGCATTTGAACCAGAGCAACTCCATCTTGAATAGGGGCTGGGTAAAATAAGGCTGAGACCTACTGGGCTGCATTCCCAGGAGGTTAGGCATTCTTAGTCACAGGATGAGGTAGGAGGTTGGCACAAAATACAGATCATAAGGACCTTGCTGATAAAACAGGTTGCAGTTAAAAAAAGAAAAAGCTGGCCAAATCTCACTATAACCAAGATGGCAATAAAAGTGACCTCTGGTCATCCTCGTTGTTCATTATATGCTAATTATAATGTATTAGCATGCTAAAAGACACTCCTATCATCTCCATGACAACAAATGCGTGGCAACATCAGGAAGTTACCCTACATGGTCTAAAAGGGAGAGGACCCCTCAGTTCCAGGAATTGCCCACCCTTTTCCCAGAAAACTCATGACAAATCTACCCCTTATTAAGCATATAATCAAGAAATAACCATAAAAATGGGCAACCAGCAGCCCACGGGGCTGCTCTGCCTATGGAGCAGCCATTATTTTATTCCTTTATTTCCTAATCTACTTACTTTCACTTTACTCTATGAACTCTTCCCAAATTCTTTCTGGTGCAAGATCCGGGAACCCTCTCTTGGGTTCTGGATTGGGACCCCTTTCTGGTAACACTAACATCATACCAAACAGTGAAAAATTGAAAGCTTTTTCCACACCACCAAAAACAAGACAAGGATTCACACACTCACCACTTCTATTCAATATATTATAGTACTAGAAGTCTTAGCTAGGGCGATTAGGTAAGAAAAAGAAATAAAAGGCATCCACATCAGAAAGGAAGAAGTAAAATTAATCTCTCTTCACACGATCTTACATGTAGAAAACCCTAAAGATTCCACATTAAAAGAAGTGTTAGAGCTAATAAATGTTAGAACTAACTTTAGCAATAATACTTATACAAAACCAACGTCCAGGCCAGATGTGGTGGCTCACGCCTGTAATTCCAGCACTTTGGGAGGCCAAGGCAGGTGGATCACTGGGTCAGGAGTTTGAGACCAGCCTGGCCAACATGGTGAAACCTCGTGTCTACTAAAAATACAAAAATTAGCCAGGCTTGGTGGTACACGCCTGTAATCCCAGCTACTCAGGAGCCTGAGGCAGGAGAATCGCTTGAACCTGGGTGGCGGAGATTGCAGTGAGCCGAGATCATGTCACTGCACTCCAGCCTGGGACAGAGCGAGATTCTGTCTCAAAAAACAACAAAAAAAAACCAAACCAAAGCAAAACAAAACAAAAAAGAACACCCAAAAATCAGTTTTTGTTTTCGTTTTTGTTTTTGTTTTCAGACAAAGTCTCACTCTATCGCCCTGGCTGAAGTGCAGTGGCGTGATCTCAGCTCACTGCAACCTTCACCTCCCAGGTTCAAGTGATTCTCACGCCTCAGCCTCCCGAGTAGCTGGGATTACAGGCACCCACCACCAAGCCTGGCTAATTCAGTTGCATTTTTATACACTAAAAATGAACTATTCAAAAAAGAAATTAAGGAAATAATTCCATTTAAAATAGCATCAAAACACAATAGGAATAAATTTAATCAAGGAGGCAAAAGACTTTTACACCAAAAACTACAAAACATTGCTGGAAGAAATTAAAGAAGGCACAGATAAACTGACGCACATCACTGTTCATGGGTTGGAAGACTTAATATTGTTAAAATGTTCATACTACCCCAAGCATTCTACAGATTCAGTGTAATGCTTATTAAGTCCCAATGGTATCTGTTGCAGATAGCAAAAATATCCTAAAATCCATATAGAACCACAAAGGACCCAGAATAGCCAAAACAACAGTGAGAAAAAGAATAAAGCTGGAGAATTCACATTTCCTGAATTCAAAACATATTACCAAGCGACAGTAATAAAAACATATAGTACTGAAATAAAGACAAACCAATTAAACAAAATAGAGTGCCCAGAAATAAACACACAGAGATGCGTGATCAAATGATCTTTGATAAAATCACCAAGACTATACAATGGGGTAAAATAGTCTCTTCAACAAACGGTGTTAGGGAAAGTGAATATCCACATGCAAAAGAATAAAATTTAACTGTTACCTTACACCATACACAAAAATCAAATCAAAATGGATTGAAGATTAAAATGTAAGAATTGAATCTATAGCCGGGTGCGGTGGCTCACGCCTGTAATCCCAGCACTTTGGGAGGCTGAGATGGGTGGATCACAAGGTCAGGAGATCAAGACTATCATGGTTAACACGGTGAAACCCTGTCTCTGCTAAAAATACAAAAAATTAGTTGGGCGTGGTAGCGGGCACCTGTGGTCCCAGCTACTCAGGAGCCTGAGGCAGGAGAATGGCGTGAACCCAGGAGGGGGAGCTTGCAGTGAGCCGAGATCGCACCACTGCATTCCAGCCTGGGTGACAGAGCGAGACTCTGTCTCAAAAAATAAGAAAATAAATAAACAAACAAACTGAAACTATAAAACTCCTAGAAGAAAACGTAGGAGAAAAACTTCACAACATTAGTCTTGGCAACAAGTTTTTTTGGATATGAAACCAAAACATAGACTATAAAAGCAAATATAGACAATGAGACTACACAAAACTAAAACTTCTACTCAACCAAGGAAACAATCAATGGATTGTAGGGATAACCTATGGAATAGGAGAAATTATTTTCAAACCATATAGCTAATAAAGGATTAACATGCAAAATATATAAGGAACTCCTACAACTCAATAGTAAAAAAGCCAAATAACATAAATAAATAAATAAATAAATAAATACAGACTTGATTACACATATCTCCAAAGAAGGCATACAAATGGCTAACAGGTATATGAAGAGATACTCAGTATCACTAAACATTAGGGAAATGAAAATCAAAACTATAATGAGATGAAATATTACCTCATTCCAATTAAGATGGTCATCATCAAAGAAACAGAAACAAGTGCTGAAGAGGATACAGAGAAATTCGAACCCTCTGCACTGTTGGCAGGAATATAAAATGGTGCAGCTGCTATGGAAAATGTAGCATAAAGGTCCCTCAAAAAATTAAAAATAGATCTACCATATGATACAGCAATCCCTCTTCTGAGTATTTACCTAAAAGAATTGAAAACAAGATCTCCAAGAGATATTTGCACTCCTGTGTTCATTGCACCATTATTTACAAGGGCCAAGAAGTGTAAACAAACTAAATGCTTATCGACAGGTAAACGGACAAAGAGCATTTGGTATATACATGCAATTGAATACCCAGCCTTAAAAAAAAAAAAAAGGAAATCCTGCCATACACTACCACATGGATGAACCTGGAGGACATTAGGCTAAGTGAAATAAGCCAGTCACAGGAACACAATACTGCACAATTTCACTTACATGAGGTATCTAAAGTAGTGAAACTCACAAAAGTAGAGAGTAGAATGGTGGTTGTCAGTGGCTGCGGCATGAGGAAGTGGGAGCTGCTATTCAACGGGTATTGAGTTTTAGTCGCATAATATGAAAAAATTCTAGAGATCTGCTATACAAAAATGCACACATATTTGATACTATATAGTAACTTAAAAAGAGAGATTTCATGTTATACATATATTTTTTACTACAAGAAAAAGTCTCCAACTGGGACACTGCTAATCACCGGAAGAGATGAATATGGAAGAAAAAAGGTGCCAAAGGAAGTTTACCCGAGAAGGAAGTTAGACAATAGAGCACACCATTGTGAAGACTGAGGACACAGACACTGATTAGTAGACCGGGCAGTAAGGATCCTTCACAGGAGGAAAAATATCTTTTTCTCTACTCATTCTAGGTTCATGGTTGAGGCCCTTTTAACAAAGGACAGATTACTAAGTGAAAAGGATAAAAATTTACTTAATGTAAGTTTTAGGTGACACTGGAGCCTTTATAAGGAAATAAAAGGAGAGTAGTAAAGAAATATGACAGGAAAAAGTATCATCTAAGGATAAGAAACTGATGAAACTTAGTAAGGCCTATTCATTCAGATTCTTCTCTGTGTCCTTGTGTCTGCAGAGATAAGGATCCTTCTTTTCTGTGGGTATAGGAAGAGCAGCTCCTACACGAGAGTCTCACAGCCTGCTTTAGGGGAAGGTCAGAAAAATCCCTCCTAGATTTTATGACCTGCTTCAAGGGACAAGGGGGTGGGGGTTAAGAGTGACATTCCTGCGCCTGCCATTTTCTCACATTCCTTTAGCTTAAATTATTCAGGAGGTCAAGGGGCCATATTTTGGGATAGTGAGCCCTGAACCCCATCAATCCCTCCGCACATAAGGAGAAACCTGGCCACCCCAAGTGAGTCAGTGGGGTAGGGAGTGGGAGACAGCAGCCTCTGAGTCCTGGG